ACATGTAATTCGGTCCTTTTGGTCTACTAACCCAAGATTGCCTAAAAAACGCTGGGGGGTCTGTTGATCGTGAAGTGCTTACTCCGTTGCCCAGGTCAGATTACATGCCTTCTGCACTCCATTTTGTACTTTTTAATGTTTGGTCACTCAACAATAAGACGTCTCTTATTCATGAACTTATTGAGGACCAAAATATTGTTTTGATGTGTGTGACTGAGACTTGGCAGGAGCCTAATGACTGTTTTTTTTTTAATTTAAATCAAACAGTACCATCAGGATATGAATATATATGTAAACCTCATTGCTCTGGAAAGGGGGGTGACCTTGCACTTATTTATCGTGACAGATGTAAAGTCTGTCCGATTTCGATATCAGAGCCATCAACGTTTGAAATTCTTAACTTAAAGGTCCGATTCCCACTATTATTGTCATGATTTATAGACCACCAAAGGCATCTGCTATGAATACTTTTTTAAGTGAAATTTCTACTATTTTAACACATCTGTGTACCCTATCTCCGAATAGCATGTCGATGGGAGATTTTAATATTCATTTTGATAATACTGCTAGCACTCAATATATAGATTTTAAATTGGTTCTGGACAGTACTAATTTTACTTCTTGCATACAAAGCTCTTAAAAATTTGGCACCTCATTATCATTCAGATCTTCTCCATTTGTACACTCCTTTGCACTCTTTGAGATCAACTTCTGCAGATTTATTGTCTGTTCCAAACTTCAAGATGAGTTCCTTTGGTGGTAGGGCTTTTAGTTGTGCAGCGTCAAAGTTATGGAACTCTTTACCTTTGCACATTTCCCATTTTAAAGCTCAGCTAAAAACGTATTTGTTTAGAATAGCTTTTAATGATTTTCTTGTTTAATGTGTTGTTATAATGCGTGCATTTTATGTTTTGTTTTATACTGTACGGTGTCCTTGAGTGTCTTGAAATGCACCTATAAATAAAAGGTATTATTATTATTATTATTATTACATATAGTTTTTGATGATAACTTTGTATGAAATAATACAGAATCCAGAAAAAGTAAAAGACAATTTTGGAGAAAAGATGAAAATAAATAAATTCAACTGATTAGACCTGTTGAATTGAGGATTAATTAAACCATTAAAACAGAAAACACACATCTTGAGATTTTTTTAGAGCTTCATGTTTATTGTTAGTATTTTTGTGACTCTCTGAATGATCTCACGCTCTGGAGCCAAACCCAGAGCCTCTGCGGATCTGACCATTGGGCCGCTGTGATGTGCAGGTGCTGTGGTTTACTGATTCTCTCACAGACACATCTGATGATTAGAGGAACGTGTCAGTCAACCTGAAACCGAAAGTGTTTCAGCAGCAGGGTCTCTATAACCGCGAGCTTCTCTCAGACACACTCGAATGATGAACACGTGACTCACACACACACGTCCTGTTGTGTTCCTTTGTGTGTCCGCAGCACTTTCTGAAACCGCTGCAGCCTTTCCTGCAGCCCGTGGACATAGAGAACATCTTCATCAATGTTCAAGTGAGTCTCTCTGTCATCAGCTCATGAGTGTCTCGGGTTCATCCGATCAGCTCAATAATCCACATCCTCTCTCACAGGATCTGGCCAAGACTCATCGCTCTCTGCTTCACGAGCTGCAGGAGTCCATACTGCATTTACGAGCCGAGAATCTCCATCAGATCTTCATCGACTACAAGGAGAGGTACGACACGCACAGAACTCAACAAAATTCAGGCTTTCAGTCAAATTCATGAGCTCTGAAAGGGCAATCAAAGTTGAATCTGTAAATGAATCATTAATTCAACTGATTCATTCAACCGCACTGATTCATTCAGGAACGAAACAAGTGTCTAAATTAATCTAAATTAGTGAGTCACTGAATCATTTACTTCAGTGGTTTGTTTAACATTGAACATTGAATATTCAATTATTTATTCACTGATTCGTTCACTGATTCACTTAGGAAAGTAACAAGTCACTGTCTTTATGAGTGAGTTACTGAGTCATTCATTTAGTGATTTGTTCATAAACACTGATTCATTTAGGAATGTAATAAATGACTGTCTATATGAGTGAGTCACTGAATCATTTATTCAATGGTTTATTGAACAACACTGATTGATTTAGGAATTAAAACAGTGACTGCCTTTATGAAGGAGTCATTGATTCAGTGGTTTGTTCAACAACATTGATTAATTTAGGAATTAAAAATGATACAAATTAATTGAATCATTGATTCCATTATTCGTTCATCGACACTAATTAATTTAGGAATAAAGAAGTGACTCTGTATATGAATTAGTCGTTGAATCATTGATTATGTTATTCATTCAACAACACTGATTTATTTACGAATAAAAAAGTGATTGTCTAAACGAGTCACTGGATCATTTATTCAGAGATTTGTTCAAAAACACAAATTCATTTAGGAATTAAAAATTGACTCACTGATTCCATTATTTGTTGAATCACTGAATTATTTGTTGAGTCATTGAATCACTGATTCCATTATTTGTTCAACAACACTAATTAATTTAGGAATAAAAAAAGTGACTCTTTGTAAGAGTGAGTCATTAAATCATTGATTCCGTTATTCGAAAAGCAACTGATTTATTTAGGAATTAAAAAGGTGACAGTCTTTATGTGTGAGTCACTGAAACATTCATTCAACAACTCTTTCAACAGCACTGATTCATTCTAGAATTAAAGAAGTGACTGTCTTTATATGTGAGTCACTGCATTATTGATTCAACTAATCTGTTCAACAACACTGATTCACTCAGGATCAAAACAAGTGTCAAGTGTATGTATAAATATGAATCACTGAATCATTGATTCGTTCAACAACTCTCAATTCATTTATATTAAACGTCATTTATGAAACATTTTTGTCCACATCATTTGTAAAACCACTCTTACACAATCGGACTGAATGTGACTGTTCATGTAAGAGTGGATTTACGAATGATTTACACACTAATTGTTTCCTCATTGAGGTTCATTGCAACATATGTGAATGAAAGGATGTTTTCTGATGGACGACACGGATCTGTGTGTGTGTGTGTGTGGTAGGCTGTTGCTGTATGGACGTTACTGCAGTCAGGTGGAAGCCGCCACCAAACACCTGGACAAAATCACCAGCACACATGAGGACGTGAAGATGAAACTGGAGGTCAGAAGCACACAGACCACAGATGCATTTAACCTGATATAAATACCTCTGGCTAACCGAAAGCCAGCGCTACAAAGCATGAGTGATCTCATTTAGCAAACCTGCTCATATTTAGGAGTGTTCGATGCGAGCCAACAGCGGCAGGTTTTCACTGCGAGACCTGCTGATGGTTCCCATGCAGAGAGTCCTGAAGTATCATCTGCTGTTGCAGGTAACACACACACACACACACACATAAGATTTCACTATATTAGTGAGATCTAACCCTCATAAGCACAGACAAACCTGTACAGAACAACACAAACACACACACACATCTGTGTAAAAAATGAGGACACATCCGAGACTTTTGTGGTTCTTTAATTAAGATAATTAGATTAAAACAAGTACAAACTGTAAGTTGTAGTCACAAGTGCTGATGAAGATGCTTTTTGGACTAGGATGTAAAATTATAATGTGATTTGCAATAAAAACTCAGTTTATTTGGTCTATTTTGCTTCTATAACGTGTCTTCTTTCAGACTAGTAGAAAGCAAAAATTTAAATTTGTAATATTTCCATTTATGCATTTTGCAGACACTTTTATCCAAAGCTACTTGTATTGCATTTGGGGTACACATTTTATTTCAGACTGGTAGAAAGAAAACATCCAAAATGCACATATAAGTGTTTATTTTATTGCACTTTATCTATTTGTGTCTGTAGATTTTTAATAGCAATGCATATCTTTAAAAGTTTTTTCTCCACTTCAGCCGAACTTACAAACACCAAAACTTAGAGATTTATTCCTATATATATTCTGCAGGTTTTTACTGAGGGGTTTGTTCAAATTTAATTCACACTGAATTATACAACATTTTATTCTTAAAAACATGGTAAATAATGCATATCTTTAAAGGCTGTGAGATTTTTCTCTACTTCAGCAGCACTTACACACACCAAATTTAATAGTTTTATTCCTACCTATATTCTGACCGTTTTTACTGAGGGAATTGTTCATATATAATTCACACTGATTTAGTTTTACTCTTTATCTATTTGCATCTGTAGATTTAAATTGCAATACTTAAAAGTTTTTTTTTTTGTCCACTTCAGCAGCACTTACAAATGCCAAAACTTAGAGTTTTATTCCTCTCTGTATTCTGAAGGATTTTACTGAGGGGTTTGTTCATATACCATTCACACAGGTTTATACAACATTTTATTTCTAAAAAAACATGGTGAAAATGTATTTGTTTTCTGTCTGTTGACAGTATTTTCTGATTTATGGAGCGATAAAAAGAGTAATCCAAAATCCTCTATGTAAAAATCTTTAACACTAATATGAAAACAAAATCTAACTAGAATTATGAATCTGGCTCTATCCAATCTTCAGATTAATATTCTGAAAATAAATGCAAATTAGTGCATTAAATATTAGATAATTCCAGAAAACAAAATAGTTGTCTTAATGTACTGTGATTAATCAACTGGTTTAGTATAGTGAAATAGATCAAATGTTTACCCTGTTCACCTGTAATGTTTTGCTTTAAAGTCTTTTTCTTTATTAATCTTGTCCCCAAAACACGTGTGTATGTGTCCCAGGAGCTTGTAAAACACACGGTGGACCAACAAGAGAAGGAAAACTTGCGCACTGCACTGGATGCCATGAGGGTGAGTGTGTGTGTGTGTGTGTGTGTGTGTGTGTGTGAGAGAGTGTGTGTGTGTGTGTGTGTGTGTGTGTGTGTGAGAGAGTGTGTGTGTGTGTGTGTGTGTGTGTGTGTGTGAGAGAGTGTGTGTGTGTGTGTGTGTGTGTGTGTGTGTGAGAGAGTGTGTGTGTGTGTGTGTGTGTGTGTGTGTGTGTTAAGCATGTACAATAGTAAAACAAGGGATAGGCAGATGTTTCAGCAGACTTTCAGAGGTTCATTTGGTGAAGGAACATGCTTCACTCACTGTTAATGAGGCAGAACTTGAAAAATCGTATCAGTGAATGTAAATAGAGGTGCAGTCTCAGTGACGGTTATACTGTGGTTGACTGATAAAAATGCTCCTGCTGAATCTTCAAAACAATTTACCTGTAACACACAAATGATTCAGACACCAAGTAATGATGCAAAGATATTTCGTCACAACATTTGTGCATTGAGTCAGAACTTTGTGGGTATTTTAAACAGGATGTTCAGTGAAGTGAGAGCACCAAGTAGAGATAAAATGAGTAGAAAAGCTCATGAACATGAATTGAATTTATGATTAGATGAACATGCTACTGGTGTGTGTGTGTGTGTGTGTGTGTGTGTGTGTGTGAGATCATCCGTCAGATCACGACGTTTCAGCTGTGCATCGAGAACATGGTACAGAAGCACCTGAGAATGATTCATTTCAGCGCTTGGCTTTGATTCTGATTCATTTGTGTTTGAAGCTGATTCAGACTCACTTTCTCTGTTTAGTCTCTGTCTCTGGCGTTATACGGACGACCCAAAATAGACGGAGAATTCAAGATCTGCAGCCCGGAGAAGAAATCCAAACAGGACAGGTGTGTGTCTGTGTGTGTGTGTTACTATAACTGTAACGATAACTATAACAATAAAGGTAACTGGAATTAGAACTATAACTGTAACTGTAATGATAATGATAACTATAAATGTAACAATAACTATATTAATAGCTATAATAAAGATAAACTTTAACAATAATTATAACAATAATAACTGTAATTGTAACTATAATGATAACTAACTGAAATTATAATTAATTATAATTATATTGATAACTAAAGATAACTAACTGTAAATATAACTGTAGCGGTAACTATAACTGTAACAATAACTATAATGATAACAATAACTATGATAACGATAACTATAATAGCTAACTGTAACGATAACTATAACAGTTTAGTATAATTATAATCATAATAACTCAACTGTAATGATAACAATAACGCTACTGTAAATGTAAAAAACCCTAAAAACGGTAACTGTAAGAGTAACTATTAAAATAACTAATTGTAGCAATAACTATAATGAAGATAACTATATAAATTATAACTATAACGTAATAAAAATTATAACTAACTATAGTGATGACTATAACGATAATAACTGTAATGATAACTAACTGTAAGGATAACTGTAACAATAACAATTAGCAGAGGTGTAAAGTATTGGAGTAAATGTAATTAGTTACTGTACTTGAGTATCTTTTCGGGTACTTTGTAGTTGTACTGAGTATCAAAGATATCAACTTTTACTCTTTACTTCACTACATTTTTGAATGAGTATCTGTACTCG